GGAATCCGATTGCAGCTCGACCTAACGGATCCAATTGTGAATCAAAACCATCCAGGGAAAACCCCCTCAAACACAAGAAAATCCATCCGAAACGGTCCTACCGTTTAGGAGGAGTTATTTGACAAACACGCGTATAGAAGAATTTTATATAAAAAATATAACCAATGGAGCGACTCCTACCAGATTAAATTATGAATAGAATCCTCCAGGGACCCACTCAAACACTAGAGAAAGTTTTATCAAAAGCGGCCTAGCCGTGTAGGAGCAATTCAGTGATAAACACTTGTACAGAAGTATTATATATAAATATATATACAAATATAATATATATATATATAAATATATCTATAATACAATATTTTTTTATGGATTTTCGAAAAAAAATATTATATCCAAAGCTTTGAATGCTTTCGTATTTCAGCGCCATTTATTTTAACATCTGAATTAAAAAGAAATACCGATTTAAAAAAAAAAGAATGATTGTAAAAGTATAATACTGAAAAATAAAACATTTATTTTTTTATAAAATTCTGTCATGTCGTATATGAAAATCAAACATTAGCTGTATAGTAATATAAAAAAAATGTGTGAGTTAATAGTATGTATGACATGTACAAAAACATCGATCTAAATGTAAATACAATTGAAATCATTCTCTCGTGTTTTTATTATTCTTTGAGGAAAAAAGCTATTTAAACCTGGCGATTATTTGGAAATAATCCAAGTCAGAAATATCTTTATTTTTTATGACCGCCTTCGAGAATGGTGAACAAAAACTCACCAAATGCAGTCGATGGCGCCAAAATATTTTTTTTTTCTTACACCTTTATTTAACGTGTGCGTTGTTGAGCAGTTTTAGATAAAGCTTAGTCAGAATAAAAGTTAAGCATCAAAAAAAAAAGTTTGCAAATTGTTCGTTCGGCATATGATTCTGTAAAAGGTGTTGGAATAAATAAATAAATAAAAAAAATGAAAATTATGGTTTGCTGCTGAATTTTGCACTGATTCCGACCATTCTAAATACCAAAAAAACATAACATTTTTCTCTGATATTTTTAGGCATAAAAGAGAAAAATGAAGATAATAAATTATTGAGTGTGACATCGACAAAAAAATCCCTTTCTTTAAAAACTGCATCGAAGATTGGACCAGAAAATAAAAGTGTTAAATGCTTAAACAAAAGAAAATAAATGTAGAATAATTTTTTTCTTTGTGTTCCAACAAGCCTTCGTAACACTATCCTGCCATTAAATGCTTTGTTTTTATATTTATTCCATCAGTAAATTACCTTGTAGAATTTCTACTAAAAAGTTTTAAACATCCATTGTAATTTACATGCCGGTTTTGTGCATAGAATACCTTATTTTTAACCAAGCAATCTATCACAATTCAAATAGATGTTATAAATGGCGATCTTAAAAAGGTAAGCATATTTTTTTACCCTAGTTTAGTATTTGCATAATCGATAAATAAAAATTAAAGCTTTAATTTGCCGTGTTTCTTCTGGTAAGAAAATATATACGTACATAGTTAGCTTAAAACTATTTAAATGTGTGTTATATAGTTGCAAGAAAAGTTTAAAAATTCAAAAAAATTCAAAAATTCCAAATGTACAGGTTTGGTTTGATTTGTCACTATACTGCCGTTTTGCGCACACTTAAGCATTTTTTGCTCACTAGACGGGGACCAACATTTTAAAGTGGATTCCGAACCAAAAAAACCATCGTTGTCAACATTCCACTACCGGGATTAGAATCTGTTATAAGAACAAGAGGCCAGAAAGCTAACCAATTAGCCATCAGGCTGTCTAATTTATAGATTTGGTATGGTTTGTCGCTCTACGGACATCTTTAAGCACGAAGTCTAAACAGACCGCGACACACAGTTTAAAGTGGATTCTGACCACTAACAAACAACCATTCCACAGTCGAAATTCGAACCTGGATCATAAAAAGCAATATATAATTATATTATCTTTGAAACGAAGGCTGTTTCTGTTCTTAGATATTGCTTTATTGGAACTCAATCTATACAAATTTAGCTATTTACAGTAGAAACAAAAAGAACCTATAAACAACTCGTAATCACAAACTGAAAGACCAGACATTCTTTACAAAATGAAAAGAAGGCATTAAAAACGGTTAGAAATAAGTTAAATGTTCTAATGATAAACATTTAAAAAGCTGGGAACACCTTAATAAGTGTCAGTGGATCAGGACATGTTTTCTCTGGCCCTCAGAGAACGTGCACACAAATCACCATTAGGTTTAAGTAAGAGTCCAGGTCCTGAGCAAACAAGTAGATGGGTCTTATTCATTTACTCTGTCTTACATAAAACACATATATCAGAGTTCACTATCTCTATTTTGCCCAGTCTTTTTTCCAGACAATTGTGTCCAGTACTAATCTGAAAAAGAATTATAGAGTGTCATCGACAAAAAAAAAAAAAAATCCCTTTCTTTAAAACTGCATTATAAAGATTGCAGCGCCACCTACCGGGCCCAATTTTTAAATCAAATCCATCCAAGTACCCGTTAAACACACACAAAAAATTCTGCAAACACACGTGCAGAAGAATTATATATATGAAGATTTAATATATATGTAAAAAATACAATATTTTTTGTATGCATTTTCGAAAGAAAAATTATTCAAAGTTTTGAATGCTTTCGTTTTTCAGCGCCACATACTTTTAACATATCAAATAAAAAATAATACAAATTTAAAAAAAAGAATAATTGTAAAAAAACCATAACGTTGTCAAATAAAACATTTATTTCATAAAATTCTGCCATGCTGTATATTAAATTCAAACGCAACCTTTATATTAGTAAATAAAAAAAAGAATTTGTGAATTAATACAGTATGTATGACGTGTACAGAAACATCGGTCTAAATATAAATGCAGTTGAAACATTTCGCTCATGCTTTTATAATCCTTTGAAAGAAAAAAGTTATTATTTAAACTTGGCTGTTTGTTGTTTGAAATATTCCAAGTCAAAACGATCAGAAATAGCTTTATTTTTTATGACCGCCTTCGAGAATAGTGAACAAAAACTCACCAAATACAGTCGATGGCGCCAAAAAACATATTTTTTTTCTACACCTCTTATTTAGCATGCGTTCTTGAGCAGTTTTAGATAAAGCTTAGTTATAAAAAAAAGTTAAGCGTCGAAGTAAAAAAAAAAAGAGTTTGCAAATTGTTCGTTCAGCATATGATTCTGTAAAAGCTGTTGGGATAAGTAAATAATAAAAAATGAAAAATTATGGTTTGCTGCTGAATTTTTGCTTTGATTCCGTCCAATCCAAATACCAAAAACATGCATTTTATAAATTTTAGGCATAAATGAGAAAATGAAGATGATAAATTATTGAGTGTGACATCGACAAAAAAAAATCCCTTTCTTTAAAAACTGCATCGAAGATTGGACCAGAAAATAAAAGTGTTAAATGCTGAAACAAAAGATAATAAATGTAGAATAATTTTTTTGTCTGTGTTTCAACAAAATCTTTTTGTAACATTATCCCTTCGTTAAATGCTTTATTTTTATTTATTCCATCAATAAATTACTTTGCAGAATTTCTACTAAAAAGTTTTAAACGTCCATTATAATTTACACCCGTGTTCTTGTACTAGATATCCTTACTTTTAACCAAGCAATCTGTCACAATTAAAATAGATATTATAATAAATTGACGATATTAAAAGGTAAGTATATTTTTTACCCGGTTTTAGAGTTTTCCATAAAGAATAAATAATATAAAATGTTTAATATTTCATGCAGCTTATAGTAAGAAAATATCTAAGAACAATAATTTCTATTCAAAGCTTAAAACTATTTAAATGCATGTTGTATAGTTCCAAGAAAAGCTATACAACTCAAAAACTTTCAAATTTACAGGCTTGGTTTGATTTGAAGCTTTATTGTTGTTTTTGCATAATTTAGCCTTTTTTTTTTTTTTGCACAATAGAACTTGACCTACATTTTAAATTAGATTCCGAAACACTTTTACAATCATACTTGTCAGGATTCGAACCTGAAGGATCAAAGGTCAGAGAGCTAGTCAATTGGCATCAGGTCGCCCAAATTTACAGGAATGTAATCATAAAAGTAACGTATAATTATATTATCTTTAAAAAATTGAATATTGATGTATTTTGTTTTCCTTATGGCTTTATTGGAACTCAATCCATACAAATTTGACCACTTACCATAGAAACAAAAAGAACAAATAAACAAATCAAATTTTCTTAACAAAAAAGACCAAAAGACATTAAACAAGTTAAATGTTCTAAAGGTAAACATTTAAAAGCTGGAACATCACAATAAAAGTTAGTGTGATCAGAACATATTTTATCTAGCCCTCCAGAGAAACAGTACAAATCACCATTAGGTTGTAAGTTAGAGTCCAGTCCTGAACAAACAAGTAGTTGGGTCTTATTAATTTTCTCTGTCCTACGTAAAACATATATATATCAGAGTTTCCATTTCCTTTTGCCCAGTGTTTCACCCAGGCAGTTGTTTTTATGTTCTAATCTCTAGTTCTAATCTTAAAAAAAATGGCAACAACCTCTTTGCAAGTTTTTCCACATAATTTTTTTCAGTCATCCCCACTTGTCTCCCAGACATTTGCTTTGGTGTTAGAAAATAATTCACTAATCTAATAATAATTCACTTTCTTGTGCAGTTCTCCTAAAAGAGTCAAGATGGATAAGAAAACTGTCCAGGAACTTCTGTTTCTTTTCAATACGCTTTTATAAGTTCCACCTGTATGTTTGTTTGTAACTGATTCTTTGGGCTCAATTTTGCCCTACTTTAAGCGATCAGATTCAATTTAAACGTTGTAGACTAATCAGGGACCGACGACACTAAAAATATTTTGATAAGTTTATTATCTCATCATGATTGGGATCGCCAGGATGAGTGATTTTATTTTAACTTATGAAGAGCAATTTAACCCATGTAGAATGAAAGTACCTATGACATTCAAACCTACGTGGGACAGTGGCACAAGGGGTAACGCGCCTGACTACGGATCAGGAGATTTCCTGGTCGAATTCTGGCTGGCTCGACCCTATTCGCATTTAGCCTTTATTTTACTCTCAATTAAATTATTGTAAGAACTATAGTTCCAGTCCTCCGTACCGGGACCTCATTTAAATATTATAGTTTAAAAACACTAAAAAACGCCTTCAGAATTAATCAAACTAAAAGTCAGTGTAATCAGGACATGTTTTATCTCTGGCCATAGAATATTGTTAATGTATTTGTAACTTTCATACTTCAAAGCTCAAATAAGATGAGCATGGATTACAGATAGATAATAAAACAACATTTACGTGATATATTTAAGTTTATTTCAACATGTATACATTACATTGTCATTAATTTCGTGTGTACACAAACAGAAGAATTATAGTGATTGCAGATCAACCTTACGGGCCCAAATGTGAATCTAAACCATCCAGGGACCCACTCAAACACTGCCTATCGATCCTGCCGCTTAGAAGGACTTTAGTGTCAAACACGTGTGCAGAATAATTACATATATAAAGGTGTATTATATTACATTAATACATCTTTTTTTATGTATTTTCTAAAAGAAAATTATTCAAAGTTTTGAATGCTTTTCGTTTTTCAGCGCCACATACTTTAACATGTCAAATAAAAAATAAAACAAATTTAAAAAAAAGAATAATTGTAAAAGCCATAACGCTGTCAAATAAAACATTTATTTCATAAAATTATGTCATGTCGTATGTAAAAAGTCAAACGTAAGCTGTGCATTAGTACAAAAAATTTATTTCGAAATTATTATAGTGTGTATGACGTGTACAGAAAACATCGATCTAAAATGTAAATACAGTTGAAATCATTCGCTCATGCTTTTTATTACTCTTTGGAAAAAAAAAACTTATTTAAATTTGGCGATTGTTTGGAAATATTCAAGTCAAAAACGATCAGAAATAGCTATATTTTTTATGACCGCCTTCGAGAATGGTGAATAAAAACTCACCAAATACAGTCGATGGCGCCAAAAACATACATTTTTTCCACACCTCTTATTTAACATGCTTTGTTGAGCAGTTTTAGATAAAGCTTAGTCATAAAAAAAAAGTTAAGCGTCGAAGTAAAAAAAGTTTGCAAATTGTTCGTTCAGCATATAATTTGGTAAAAGTTGTTGGAATAAATAAAAAAAATTAAAAATTATGGTTTGCTGCTCAATTTTGTTCTGATTAAGCCCAATCTAAATACCAAAAACATAACATTATTTTTTAATATATTTTTAGGCATAAAGAGAAATTAAAGATGATAAATTATTGAGTGTGACATCGAAAAAAAAATCCCTCTCTTTAAAAACTGCATCGAAGATTGGACCAGAAAATAAAAGTGTTAAATGCTGAAACAAAAAAAAATAAATGTAGAATTATTTTTTGCAGTTCCAACAAAAGCCATTGTAACACTATCCTGTCGTTAAATGCTCTGTTTTTATATTTATTGCATCAATAAATTACCTTGCAGATTTTCAGTAAAAAAGTTTTAAAATCCATAATAATTTACATCCCTGTAGGAGTGTAAAGGAAACCTTATTTTTAACCAAGAAATCTACCACAATTTAAATAGATATTATAAATGGCGATCTTTAAAGGTAAGCATATTTTTTTTTACCCAGGTTTATTATTTGCATAATGAATAAATAAAAATTAAATGTTTAATTGGCCAAGTAGCTTCTAGTAAGAAATTATCTACTAAACATAATATGCTTAAAAAATATTTAAAATGCGTGCCGTATATTTGGGAGAAATATACAAATTAAAAAGAATACCAAATGTACAGGTTTGGTTTGGTTTGTCGCTCTGCTGTCTTCTTTTGTACATTTTAAGCTTTTTTTTGTATAGACCAAGACCAATAGTTTAAAGTTTATTCCGAACCACTAACAATTATCCATGCCACCGCCAGGATTCGAACCTGAAGCCTGCGTTACACACAGGTCAGAGCCCAAATTTACAGAGAGGTATCATAGAAAGTAATGTATAATTATGTTATCTTTGAAACTAATACTTTTGTTGTTGTTACCTGTGGCTTTATTGAAAATCAATCCATACAAATTTTACCACTTACATTAGAAACAAAAAGAACAAATAAAAAATCGTAATCCCAAACTGAAAAGACCAGACAAAGGCAAAGGTTGTGTATTTGTGGAGTGCCTGGGGACAGGATCCCCCTATCTCCACTTGCATAATTAGTGAAATTAAAAATTTTACTTTAAGAGAAAAACATAAGAGAAAATATTTAAATGTAATAAATGTGTAAAATAAAAGTGAAAAAAATTAGGATGAGCCATAGCTCAGGAGTTAAAATATAAGAGTGTATATTGTGATAAAAATAAAAGTACAGAAATTAAAATTTAAAGATCCTTTGCACTTTTGACGAGAATTTAGATATGAGTGAAAAATCTCAGGAGTGGTTGTGGCGGGAAAGAAAGGGGTAGGAGAAAACAAGAGTCAGAGCCAAGCTTCCGTTCCCCGTGGGACGAATTCATCTACCGAAAAGAAAGAATAATCATGCCGAGCGCCTTCACGCCGGAGATCGGGGAGAAGCCCCTGGCAGAAGTCGGAGCAGGTCGCGGTATTATATGCGCTCTTGCAATTGGCCGAGCAGACCAGACATTCTTTGAAAGAATGACAGTTAGAAACAAGAATATTCTAAAGGTAAACATTTAAAAAGCTAGGAACACTATAATAAAAAGTCAGTGTGATCAGGACATGTTTTCTCTGGCCCTCCAGGGAAACAGTACACAAATCACCATTAGGTTGTAAGTTAGAGTCCAGTCCTGAGCAAACAAGTAGTTGATTCTTATTAATTTTTTCTGTCTTACATAAAACATATATATCAGAGTTTGCAATTCCTTTTTTTTTTTTTTTTTTTTTTTTTTTTTTTTTTTTTTGCCCAGTGTTTCACGCAGGCAGTCGTCTTCGGTTCAAATCTCTAGTCTAATCCTAAAAAATGGCAACAACCAACCTCTTTGCAAGTTTTTCCACTCAATTTTTCAGTCATCCCCAATTGTCTGCTAGACATTTTCTTTGGTGCTAGAAAATAATTCACTAATCTAATAATAATTCACTTTCTTGTGCAGTTCTCCTAAAAGAGTCAAGAGGGATAGGAAACTTTCCAGGAACTGTTTCTTTTTTGTCAGAAGATATGTCCTTCCGTTTATATCAATTTCAACATGTGATGGAATAAACAGGAAAGTGATATATTTACCTGAATGGTCGAGTGGATGAATAAAAAGTATTTTATGAACGATTGAAAATTTGAGCAGGATATATATTGGGAGAGTGGGATCTAATAGAAGGAATTGAAAAAATAATTTTAATAAAATAGATTTAAACTAGTATATGATTCCTGCTCCAAAGATCCATCCCTCGAAGATGATCTAATCCCGTCTCATAACCCTGATTAAGAAGGTCCAGTACTCATTGTATCCGCTCCTGCGGAAAGACTTATCGTAGTCCTCCCTTCAGAATAGGCTATTCGTTAAACAGCTCTGAATAGAGAATATTGTTAAGTGGACATACAACTTTCATATTTGAAAGCTTAAATAAGATGAACGTGTAATACAGATAGGTAATAAAACAATTTTTTTAGGGGGTCATGAATGGTCGAGTGGTTAGCGTTCTAACGCTCGGTACCACAGATTTCGGGTTCGAGTTCCGGTGGTGGCATGCATGATTCTAGGGGTTCGGAATCCCCCTTTAAACTGTAGGTTCCGGTCTCATATGACTGTACGTCCCGGTCTCATCACAAAGCCCATTCAAACTTCTCACCCTCATTATTCCAAAATGTAAAAGGGCAACTCAGCTTTAGGCACAGTGATGTGTTGTAATAGTAGTTACCTATATACCTATTGCCGATTTATTGGAACATAATCATACAAATTTGACCAATCATACAATTTTCAAAGATAATATAATTAAATATAACACTTTAAGATCTATCTCCTGTAAATTTGGAAGATTTTCGGTTGTAAAATTTTTCTTGCAATTATATGAAGACGCATTAAACAATTCAACGAAATTGTGTTTCTTAGATATATTCTGATCAGAAGCGACATAGAAAATTAAACTTCTATTATATTTATCCATTATGCAAGCACCAAACCCGGGCAAAAAATATGCCTACCTTTTGAGATCGCCATTTATAATATCTATTATAATTGTGATAGATTGCTTTGTTAAAAATAAGGATTTCTATATACATAGTACAGGCATGTAAATTATAATGAACCTTTAAACCTTTTTTAGTAGAAAATCTGCTATGTAATTTATTGATGGAATAAATATAAAAACAATGCATTTAACGACATGATAGTGTTACAAAGCCGTTTGTTGGAACGTAGAAAAAAATATTCTACTTTTATTTTCTTTTGTTTTCTGGTTCAATCTCCGATGCAGATTTTGAAGAAAGGGATTTTTTTGGTTGATATCACACTCAATAATTTATCATCTTCATTTTCTCTTTTATGCCTAAAAATATATAAACAATTTTTTTTGGTATTTAGATTGGATGGAATCAGTACAAAATTCAGTAGCAAACCATAATTTTTCATTTTTTATTTATTTATTTATCCCAACAGCTTTTACAGAATCATTTGCTGAACGAACAATTTGCAAACTTTTTTGCTTCGACGCTTAACTTTTTTTTTAATGACTAAGTTTTATCTAAAACTGCCCAACAAAGCATGTTAAATTAGAGGTGTAAAAAAACCATGTTTTTGGTGCCATCGACTGCGTTTGGTGAGTTTTGTTCGCCATTCTCGAAAGCGGTCATAAAAATAAAGCTATTTCTGATCGTTTTTGACTTGAAATATTTCCAAACAATCGCCAACTTTAAATAACTTTTTTTAACAAAGAGTAATAAAAAGCATGACCGAATGATTTCAACTATATTTAAATTTAGATCGATATTTATGTGCATGTCATACATTCTGTATTAATTCACAAATTCATTTTTTATAGTAATGTACAACTTACGTTTGCCTTTCATATACGACGTGACAGAATTTTATAAAATAA